CACACACACACACACACACACACACACACACACACACACACACACACGTCACAGGTTGGAGGTGGAATATTGCTCCAGGATGAATTGCTTCACCCAAGCAACAAATAAATTGACATTTCTATTTTCACCATTCACAGCTGTACAGTATTTGAGCTTTTCCACTGAGCTGCCATGATGGGAAAGTTCAGTCTACTCTTAAATTAAGCCCTATTTTATAGGGCTTATATAAATCAATGTCCTTCCTCAAAAGGAGAAGAGAACCAACCAGCTCTCTGTTTTGTTTGTGTGCAGCGTCACTGGAGGGGAGCTGTTTGAGGACATTGTCGCTAGAGAGTATTACAGCGAGGCCGATGCCAGGTACAGTATGTCGTCATGCTCACATGTCAACGTGTCGTGTTATGTGCCACTAGTCATCTTTCCTGCTGAGGAAGTTTTTGTGGCTGACGCAGTAAAATTTCAGGCAGCGAAAGTAGTTTGATGAAAGTGCAAAATGTTTTTCCTGTTTAAATGTGTGTTGTACTGTGTGTTTCAGTAAAAGAAGCAATGCTTTGGGTTTCTGGCACGTCTATTTTTGACTGTGTGACTCAGGGCTTTTAAATTTAATTCCATTAATAACTAATGACTAAGCTGTCCCCAAGTTTTGAAGCATTATTTTGGGCCTGTTGTCAGAAGTTGCAGTTGTGTTTTGCAGTGCAGCACATTACCTGTGTGGATTGTGGATTGTGCAGACTAACCTTTATATATTGTTTAAGCAGATTTTTGTCAGACATGCAGAGGTTAGTTTATTAAGTTGAACATCAAAATACAATTACATAAAAATAACTCCACATGATCAAATTATCACATTAGGTCCAAACGTAAAATTCTGTCAACACATTCATTACCCCACGTCAACGTCATGTTCGAGCATCTTCAGCCAAGAATGCATAAGTCTCTCTTGTCTGTGATTACTAATAGTGGACTGAGATCTTTGTGGACCAATTACACTTTGTTTCTCATGAATCTGAGGACGTAATGATACATAATGACTATCAATATGTGTGCCAGTGTTGTTCAGATGGTGTACGACTTCATCTTCCTCGTCCAATGAGCAGCCTGTAGTGATGTCAGGGCAGAACTTTGTAAATGTAATTATCAGATAATCGTCAATAAAGGTTAGACTTTTTGTATACGGGTGCATATCAAGCCGACACTTCATCATATGGAGGGATTTTGCCTGTTTGTCTCTCACTAAACCTGTACTACTAGAAGCCCTGCCTCTAATAAACAAGTCAAAGGCAAAGCTTTCACGCTGGCCAAGTAGATGGTCTCGATGGAGACACCTTAAGAGAGAACAGAAGAGAAGTCTGCTTCAAACACTTTCCTTTTTTAAGCTAATAGGCATCATGCACATGGGTGAACAAAGTAGAAGCATGGGCACTCAAAACTTCTGCCAACCTCTGACTCAACATGACGACATCCTCCTTAGGTTTCTTAAGTGCCTCACCTTGCAATGGTAGTTAAAGCCACATGTCAATCACAGATATTCCTGTATGAATTGAATATTTGACGAATGAAAAGTATCGACTATTCTCTGATTTTATTAAGATCTTTAGTGCAAAAGATTAGATTTTCTGAGAAACATGAGTTGGTTTGTGCTTTTTATTGTCAATTTAGACAAAGTAATTGTGTATCAGACAATGCCTGGATATATGATTCCATCACGATATGATTCCATTGAAGGATAATAAGTTATCATATTGAATTATTGCCCAGTAAAAAACTAGTCTAGGCTATCAGGCTCTAGCTTTTGGTTGTCTAGAGCATGGACACACATTCTGGATTAGTTCTCCTCTGATATTGATCTCTACATCAAGGACCAACTAAATTAAAGGAAAGAGGAAGGAAAGGCAGGAGAGATATGAGGTATGAGAAGTGCAGACGGGGCAAGAGATACAATGTGAGTAAGAGCAGCAGCAGTAAGTAAGTAAGGGCACTGCAGCTGCAGAAACAGGGAAGAGAATAAAATGTGGAATCCAGATTCAGCCTAATTTGGACACAGCGTCAGCAGTGTCTCCCTAAATCTGTGTCTGTGCCCCCTCCTGACCCTGACGTCACCTTAACTCATGTCAAGTTCAATTTAATATACAAACAAATAATAGTGTTTTTTAACTGTGCATCAGACCAGCAAAATTGCTGATATGTAAGCTTAGGACAAGCTTACATAAGAACCCCCCCTCACCGCCTCAACAACACACCAACACACTGCCCGCTACACATCCTTCCACACACCCTTTCACATAAAAATGCACCAAACTTTTCTCCCACATGCACCTCTTATCCTCTTGTGCAGCAACATGCAGATCGCAAATGGTGTTCGTGTGACATTACAGGGCTCTCTTAAGCTCGTGCATGAGTCATAAATGTACCAGTTGTTTTTATAAGTGGAGTGTGTCGCAATGAGCGAGAGGAAATGATCTCATGTTGCAAGTCACAGCTGGCATGTCGACAATTTGGTGAAACAGGCACCTGGTTGCAGGGATTTGCTCCCATACAGCCACAAGAGCATTAGGGTCGGGTTGTGCTGGAACAGAAGTAGTTCATAAGAAGTGTTGTCCGACCACGTTTTATAATCAAAAGTATAGATGCATCAAATTCAGCAGGCGGATTGAAAAGCCACCCAAAATAGAGATGCATGAGATACGTTATTGTTTCAATTTGGAGAAAACAATGCATATTTAGACATTATTGGTGTTGTACTCTGCTGTTCACATGAAAAATGACAGATATGGTTGTGTAAAAAATGAAAAAGAGAAAGCTAGAGAGAGAAGTTAAAAACCTGCTTAGTTTCTCACCTCCACACACCCAGCCAGGAGAGGCGTGAGGTGGGTGCGAGTGTTGGATTGCCTGTTTTGGAAAGTTACAGAAACGGTCTGACACAGCCCCCGCTGTTGTTGATTTGTCATCTTTCCTTGGCCTGTGTCAACATGTCGCTCCCTTTCCAGCACAGAATTCCTCTGTTTTTGACCTTGCTGGGGAAAGTTGAACATAAGTTGATTTGGATTTTAGGAAGTCTCTTTTCTGCTTGACCTTTCATGTTAAATGCATAAATAAAAAGAAACACATTCAGCATTCAAAATGTACCCAAGGGACCAAATTGTGTTGAGTTCAAATATTTGAAAAACCTCCCTCAACGTTTTATATTCTACTCCTTCAGTCTCTTGTCATCCAGCTGTTGTGGATAAACAGATGTGTCTCTCCTCTGCTTCTAATCCCTCTCTGTCTCCTCCAGCCACTGCATCAATCAGATCCTGGAGAGCGTCAGTCACATCCACCAGCATGACATTGTGCACAGGGACCTCAAGGTGAGTTGTCATACACCGGCGGTGAACACGTTCTAGTTATTGCGCAGAAATAACACGTTGTGAGTAAAAAGGCATTTGTGTGGATTCACAACAGGACTAAGCACACGCTCGCGCAGACGTCACAGCGTGACGTTAAGAACCCGTTGGCCTCATCCATCCCTCTCTTCACCTGATTTCTTTCTATTCCCATCCTCCTCTACGTCTGTGCCCCCCCCCCCCCCCCCCCCCCCCCCCCCCCCCCCCCCCC